AAAAAAAAAAAGCACGTGCATATATAAAGAGAGGTTAGAGGTGAGGTGTAAAGGTGACAGAGAATTTTGAGAAGAAGCTGGCAGGTTGCTGTATAGCCGTTATAAAGTGAGAGTGTGAAAAAAAAGAGAAATATGCGGCCAATGGCGTCAGCTGTTGCAGCTACATCGCCATCCTGCTCGATTAAGCGCGTGTCACGCTACCAGTTCGACCCGGAGACGGACGTGATAGGGAAGGGCGCATACGGGGAGGTTTACAGAGCCACTCTGATTAAGCCTAAAAATGAAAACGGCACCGGCGGTGAGACAGCAGCAAAAAATGGTAGCGTTTTCGCTCTCAAAAAGACGATGTGTGGAAGCAAAGAAGAAGGCATGCCCGTCTCCACCATCCGAGAAATCATGGTGCTCAAGGAGATTGGGGCGACGATGCAGAGGGCGGCACAAGACGCCACCTCCGACACATTGGGTTTCGAGAATATCGTTCCACTCTACGACGTTTGTATGGAAAAGGATGTTGTTTATATGGCCTCAGAGTACTGCGATGCGGGTGATCTGGCGAGTTACCTGAAGAAGCAGCCCAGGCACCGCCTCAGCGACCGCTGGCAGTACCGACGGTGGATGCGGGACTTACTCCACGGCCTCTGTTTCTTGCACCGTAAGGAAATCTCACACCGGGACTTGAAGCCACAGAATCTTGTGCTGAAAACCGTACCAAACAAAGAGGACACTAAAGGCGTCTCCGTCAGTGGTGGGGAAGAGGAGGAACCAACGAAGTCAACGCGGTATGTTCTCAAAATTACCGACTTTGGTCTCTCCCGCGTCGAAGGCATTCCAGTGAAGAAGTATCAACACGAGGCTGTTACACTGTGGTACCGTAGTCCCGATGTGCTGCTTGGAAACACGAACTACAGTTATACCGCGGATATGTGGAGTGCCGGCTGTATCATTGCCGAGGTTGCCAGTGGCAAAGCTATCTTTCATGGAAGGAATAACGTGGACCAGCTGAAGTGTATATTTAGCCGTCTGGTCCCACCAACAGAATGCAACTTTCCCAGCATGAAACGATACGCGCTTTGCGATAAGTTCGCTGCCACACTAGATGTACTTCACACAGGAATAAGTCATCAAAACTCCAACGGTGCGGGTGTCAACAGTCCTTTTGATGGAGTCAAAGAGAGTTTATATTCGTACTTTCGAAGCTATGAGGCCTTGGATGTCGTGGGCGAGGACGGTGTGGATCTTCTAACCCATCTGCTGGCGTACGAGCCGAAGTACCGCTTCACGGTGGAGGAGGCGCTGCAGCATCCGTTCTTCACGACACTCTCGAGGAGCGTCTCTCCCGCTCCCGAGCTGCGCACCTTTTCCGCCCCCCATCTCATGGAGGAGGAGCGGCGAAGCTCCCTCATGAGTGGCAGGAACGCAAGGGACTCCGAGTCGCAGCGGGCCGAGTTGAGGGCAAAGTCCCTCTGCCTACCATCCGAATGCCAGGAGGTNTGGCAGGAACGCAAGGGACTCCGAGTCGCAGCGGGCCGAGTTGAGGGCAAAGTCCCTCTGCCTACCATCCGAATGCCAGGAGGTGGCTGAAGGGGAAAAGGATGGACCCTTCACTGAAGAGCTGAGGAGCGACACGGTCACAACCCCGTCGTGTAGCCGTCGGGGGCCGAAGTACACAAGCGACAGGGATCTAAGTCCGAGGGTGAGCCACAAGGGGCTCGCCAAAAAAGACGGAACTGGTGTTGTGATTTCTAGGAGGAGAGGGAGCCACGTTTCAAGCATCAATGGCTGCAACACAAAGGATGTTGTCAACCAGCCGCGGGTACGGATGTCGCTGCGTAAGTTCCCCGATCGCCCACAAAGCACACGTGCGGCGAAGGAGAGCAAGGTGGGGGAGAAGCGGCGGGATGCCGGCGGGGGCACC